GGCCGCGGGAACGACTCCGCTAGGGGAGAAAAAGAGAGACGAAAAGCGGAGATGGAGGGAGAGAAGCTGCCTCTACACATCGAACGGAGGAAAAAGAAAAAATAAACAGAGAACGAGACGAGACCAAGAGTACTGGATCCCTCTTTCATTGAACAAAGCCAGAGATAGCTCGCTAAGCCGTACCCCACCAGACGCTCCAGACTCCCTCCAAGCCCGCTCGGCGCACCGTTCTCCCCCCACCCGCGCCGCACACCCACGAGGTTCTCCCACCGCTCGAGCGGCAGCGTGGACGTCGTCGCTAAACTGCCACGGGGCCACCGACCCCTCCCCAGGCCCCTCGGCCGCGGGTCACGGCCACTGTCCTCGCGAAGAATCAGCACCGGCACGAGGGAGGCGAACCCTGTTGTTCGCTCTTTCTTCATCTCTCTCTGAACACCTCTTCTAGCCATCCGTCTCTTCTCTCTTCTGCGTGCGCGTACGCGTGCGCATGCGTCGAACAGTTGCGCGCGCACTGTATGCGTACTAGAGAAAAAAGCCGCAAGGGTGGTTTGTATTTTCTTCTTACGATTTGCTCTTTTCGAACGGTATTACACTTGAATTCGGTATCAGACGGTCTATCGATTATCCATATAATTGATACTTTACGATATAATCATTAAACTAATTCGGGTTATGTTAGGTTTCGTTTGTATTCTATTTCAAATATTTGTCACTAGCTGTATATCTTACGATATTATCGATACTCAGTGTATATATATTACTGATATTAGCACCTGTAGTATTATAGGGTTGAAGCTACCTATATGTTTATCATACTATTAAGATGCAATGTAAATATTTGTTCCTCAAAATTCTTAGATTAGGCATTTAGAGCCTAGACTTATCACCGCGTTTACCGAGCAATTAGCGGTGGTTTACATAGAACGATACGGTTCGAATGGAATTTATAGTCTGACGAATAGTTTGAAATGCAAGAACATGTATCAGAGATTTCGAACGTAGCTGCAACGAAACGGTACCTGTCGATATATCGAATTAGACCTAGATATCAAAATATACCCGTTCGAATGCAAATTATAGAGTGGGTATTTTAGTCGGTGTAACATCGCAGTGACCACGCGGAAAAACGCGTGGAAATGAATTTCTCCTGCGCGTGTTGCGTACGCACACATCGCTGTTCCCGATGACGAATCTGCAAGCGTAACCGATGCGTTTAGGTTCAACGACATGCGCGTCACGTCACTACAAGTCACGACGCGATACGTCACTTTACGACATAAACGACAGAATACGATACGAGGTAGCCGACGCACGCTCGCACGATCACAAGGAAACACCATAAAAGTTCATATCTGACGCCGGCCGTAAATGAACTATACCGCCGCGCTGTAGATTTATGCGATACGATTTTCGATAGCTCGAACCA